CTTTTTCTAAATTCTAATAAAATTTTCAAAAAATATAATTATAATTAATATGTTTAATTTCAACGTCGGCTTCTTCCAAATTTGGGTGGTCTAGCGCCAGCAGGGCTTCCAGATGGAAATCGGTAAAATGCATCTTGAATCTCATTCAAAAAGCTATCACAAACATAAAACATATATATTATTATGAATATCAAACATACTTAAATATTAAACATACATAAATAAATAAATATTAAACATATGTAATAAACAAACCTGTCACTATTATGAACTGTAGTTCCACCTAATACAATTCTGACTCCAGGAGTTGATGCATTTATTTGGGCAACATAACGTGCCTCCTCATATGTGACTCCTCCAACCATAAATACAATAATATCTTGTGGCCTGCATAACAAAAATTGGAATCAAAAAAATTAATAAAACGTTATACTTTTTGAAGAGAAAATATAAATTTTAATTTTTATAACCTATCCTTCGTTGCACTGCCAACAAACGGATAACTGGTTTCTTTCAATTTTCCTTTCATTAACAGTTCAAGTGTCTGTGCCAAATGAGGTGAATGTTGCGTATATACATTTTCTACACCCTAATCAATATGTTCAAATAATTTTTAGAATCTATATTATATCATTACAAAAACCCACAAGGTATTTAATAATTACTACCTTCAATCCTTTAAATGCACTTTTCCCTTTAGAAAAGATGCTCCCATTTGAAAACAAATCATCCTGCCTTTGATCCGCACCAGCATATTGAATCATTGATCCGATCAACTAAAACAAAAATTCATTAAATGCTCAAACTTGTCATATCTTAAATAATAATAATAATAATAATAAATGAATTTTAAAACATACATACAGATATTTTATGCTCACTGACACCATGTTTATGTAATTCATCGATTAACGAAACAATAGCATTATTTGGATATTTTTCATATCTTAAAGAATATAATAAAACAAGACGGATTTTGCTTTCCTCAGATGTCTTTGGACTTGCTATGAGTTTTTGAAGACTCTTAAATCATTGATTTGATTATTTGATTACTTATTTTATCCTAACGAATAGTAAAAAGATAATTATAGCAAGTATATACCTTTAAATCACTAGAATGTTGATCATAACTTGCAAGACTTTGTTCTAACTCACTAACTTCAAGCAAATTATCTTTTTCATATAATCGGCTTAATTCACTAGCTAATGCTACATGCTTACTAACGTTACCGGATAACTTTCTAAATTCTGGATATTCTTCCACAAATCGTTTCATATCAGAAATAGAATCAATATTCCTGCTTAATTTCGTTTTGGTTTGATACTCTTCCACATAACCCTTGATATTAGCACCAAGGTCACCAATATTCAAATACATATTCTTTTTATAAAAAGGATCTTGATCTCTGGAAAGAACAATTTCCTTATAATTTAAAAGAGGAAATTTTGTATAAATATATATTTTATATATATTTACATTGAATAATTTTGAATATATGCGAACCTTCAATTCTGGACGAATATCTGGGACATCAGATAAATCAACACGACCATTATGAATACCTAATAATTCATGAACCATGGCTTGATATGTCCATTGTGATAAAAGGGGTGTAACTGGATCATTACGACGATCAAGAATAAGTAATATAGGTGGAGTATCAGTACGCCGAAAATCAAATAATGGGCCTTCTTCTTGAATTTGATACTAAAAAAAATGAAGGATCACATTAAAATTCAATAATAGTAAATAAATAAATAAAATGAGATATAAAATATATAAAGTCAAAATACCAAAACTTCTGCCGCAAGTTTTTTAGCCATTTCACTAATTTTTTCATAACGAATTAACGGTTTCTTCTTCAAGGAAAGTAAAACAGCAAGTACACCTTCTACGACGCGTTGGAGTGCTTTACCATCCCAAATGTGTTTTGAATCGCCATAAAGATGATGTTGTGGTAATGAGAGATTCAAAGAATAAAAGTCTGGATTGATTGCACAATAATCTGCAAAATATTCCTAAATATGGGTATAGCGCTCAATAGTCAAAAATATATAATCATAATACCTCAATTAAAAGGAATTTTACGATATACCTGTACTTCACGAACAACTTCTTGCTCGTCTACTTCAGCTAACCTTTCTATAGAAGATTTTTTAATAGTATTGCTAAAATCTTGTAAATTTTTTATTTTCAAAGTCATAAACATCTTAGTACAAACCGAATTTATATTAATATAAAAAATTTAGTTTCAACTTACACAAGTAATAGTCGCCATAACAGGGATCTCTTAGTTCTTCAACTAATAATTGAATGGAATCGGTCGTTGGTCGAAGAAAACAAATGCATTTAAGGTGTCGCATTCTATCACGATTGCGATTATCGATTCGATCGACCAGATAAGTTTCATGTGAAAGTAAACTAGATTGAGTCATTACATTCGAAATAATCGGGGTCTATATTTTTTGTCACGTTTAGTATGAAGTCATAAGCGGACAAAAGGTACTTATTCAAAAAAAAAAACTAACCGTCTCCGCGTCAAGAAGTAACACTTTCATGCCCGGTACTTCATTGACCATTTTGTTAATGTAATTTTGAACTGCCTTAACGACGTCCATAATTGTGCCACGTTAAGAGAAATAATTTTCATCGAGATTCTTGGTAGACTATAAGAACACGTTAATATGTCTAAAAATAGAAAGCCAATC